ATTGCCTTCCACGATGCCTGCAAACACGGATGAAGACCGCCGATGGGCGGTTGTACAGATTGCGCTCATCAGGCAAGATCTTGACGACCTCACCGCTCATGCCCGGGCGCTTGACAAACTCGTGCCTGACCCCGCCGATCAGGATGCCTTCCTACAGTGGAGTAGGAAGCAGGCTCTCAAAGATTGTCGCAAAAGTTTCGAGCCAATGCCACGCGACTTCTTCATCTCCACCGTCGAGCAGCTCAACTTTTTCTTCCAGGGAGACGGAAAACGGTATGGCAAATGGCTAGCAGGCACTGAACAATACAACGTTCCGATGATACCGCTTGGATCCACTGAGAACGCTCTCTACCGGCTCCTGCCCGAGCTTTACAGCCTCCGATCGAGAAACCAGGAAAACTCCAAGCACCCTAGCGTCAAAGACGACTGCTTTCTTGGTGTCAACACAAATGTCAAACCTGCGTTTCCACCGACGAGGAATCGGCATCAGGAGAATTTGTCCGAGATGTCCACCCAGTCTACAGAGTCTGACGATAGTGGAAATGGCTTCATGTTTCATCAGCTCGGTGAGCTCATGACATGGCCTCTTCGCGAGGGATGCGATCTTCCAACGGATGACAGCCCAATTCACGAACAAGAATGGGATCCCACAGGTTTCGTTGTCGTTGCTCGGCTGACGAAGTCTGGCCATGCAGATTCCCTGTACCTAATTTACAACACTTGGCCATGGGTGGAGGAGTGTGGAAAGCGTGTCGAGGTTACAGACCCTGATTGGGGACACCTTCGCTACGAGCCCAAAGCCGCCAATCGAACCTCATTCGCCAAAATCCGCAGCACATCATCCCTCTTGAGCGACAGAAACTACAACACTCGATTTGAATTGTGTTTCGAAGACTCCGAAGAAGAAGAAGCATCCAAACGTCCAGTAGAGCTGGTCCGCTTGGTCGAGAAGGGCACTGGAGATGGCTGTGTGCGGCTGACGGTGGAGCACTGAAACCATTTTTCTGTATCTAATTTGGTTGGCGGTCTAAACACTGCAGAAGCCATCCATCTTGTCATGACAAAAAGAATCATCTGCGAGCCCCTTCCCCCGGAAAAGAAAATCCACTCCATCATGATTCCGAAGCACAATTGTATCCAGATCCCTCCCTACACCTGTGATGCCTCTTTGGTCGTGATGCCGTTGAGGTCGACTTATCGCGAATTAGTCTCGGCTATGTCTGCCACTGTCACACATTCAAGTATCAGCCGTTAACCAATTTTCCAGTCTCTTACATTCCAAACTAACCTTTCTTCGCGATGAACAGTTTCTCTGGCGAAACCGGTACCCATGTTTACCCTCTTTAAGTAAACCAGCTCCACAGGCTTTTCTATTACCTCATCCAAGGCAAATGGGGTGTCGTAACTTCTGCCGCTCAAAAGGTGGGGACCCGCAAGCCTAGCGCAGGTGAATCGTTTGAGCTCATCGAAGGGAAGGTATCCCCAGCGTTCCGATTCGATCGCTTTACGACCGCCAGAGTCTAGCCTCGGAAAGCTGTCCATGATGAGGTAGAGTCTCTGGGCATAGCCATTGGATGATAGCCGAGCAACAACGAAGAAACCAGTACTCAGCCAACAATCCGGATCAAGGAGTATTTGGCTGTCATCACCTGGAGGACGTCCACTTCCTTTGAGGAATGGCCAGGACATGAGCTCGCCAAGCTGGTGGAATATGAAGCCTCCGTGGTCCCCCATGTCGTCTGACTCTGCCGAATCTTGGGATGCCTCAGAGAGATGTTGTTGGCGTCGGCTCGTTGGAAGATTGGTGTTCACGCCCAAACGTGCCGAATGGGTAGACAGTGCAGTCTCGTCTCTGTGCGGGATGAGTCCATAGAAGTCGGGCTTGAGTCGATAGAGCGCCTGAGCAGTGGAACCCAACGGTATCGGCTCGTAGCAAAATTCGGTCGCCGCCTCTAGCAGCTCGTCGTATTCTTCGCTGTCATCCAAGAACAAATTGATGCGCTCGACTCTCTCCGTGAAGTATTTGCGAGAAACTGGAGTAAAAAGCTCCTGGAAGCTCTCGCGATGTCTTTGGCCGATCCAATCCCAGTACGCAAGTCGGTCAGCGATGTCGGGAATCAATTCGGCGACTGAAGGTCCTTTCAAAGGCTCATGTTTCTCACGCTCGTCTTTAACTTTTTGGAACAATGAAATCTGAGCTTGAGTGAGAGGCATGGTAGCTGCTGTAATAGTGTTGCTGGACACTGTAACGAGGATAAATTGAGGGGAGGTGAGGAGATAGTCAAGTTGTTGCACAGCGAGGCTGGATCTAATGGATGTTGCCAAGTTTTATGTCGGGAGGGTGGCGTGAAAAGGCTGCTATACCCAAAGTGGTCGAAGGTACTCTAAGCTTTGTTTGGACTAGCTTGCATCATCCCCAACACAACAACAGGTGTCGCAAACCAAGATTGAACGGAAGATGATAAACGAAGACAGTGTGAGAGCAACCTGATTGAGGCCATCGCGCAAAGTGCGCAAGACGGCGATATAATGTGTCTAACTACATGTAACAAAGGAAATAAGAGAACTGTCTGGAAGATAGTACTGTCTCAGACCTCAAAGCGAGCAAGCAAGCAAGACATGACTACAGGACTGCAAGGCTACAGTCGAAGGTTAGGTTCGCGCGCAAGGTACATTTGTCAGAATGTTTTGGGGTTCTGCTTTCTCCATCAAAACAACTTGATGAGTGTAGCTTCCTGAATAGGATTATCGATGTCCTAAAGTTACAAGACAAACTTGTGCTGGCCTGTGAAACTCTCGCTGCAAAGCTTACCTCCACTGGAGGGCATAGTCATTCAGGTTTGACTGATAATAAGTATTTAAATGACCATAGCACGCCAGAAAAGCGCAACGCGCCATAGGTGAAAGCTTACTTCCAAATCTTCTCCTCTCCTTCTTACATTCTACCGACTCAGCCCTCCACTCCACCCTCAGCCTTTTCAACATCCTCAACACTCCTTGTCCGAAGATCATACGTCAGTATGTCATCACAACTGAGCCCTCATGATCTGGCGCTGAAGGCGACGTGCTCTGCAAAAAGACCCCATTTGAAAGCTGTCGACAATGAAAGGGCCGCACGAGACATCGCGAGCAGTGCCCTGAAAGGACTGAAGAACGCGGCGAAGGCATTATCAGTCGATATCGAAACCTTCCACGCAGCCAAAATGTACGGTGATCCTTTGGCCAAGGGTTTTATAGCCAGTGCCGCTCACTACGCCCACTTTTTGATCCTCGATCCCTATAACCAACTTCGCTCTCAATTGGAGAAGTACAGGAGAAATGACAAAACCTTAAGCAAAAGGATGGATGAAATGAGGTTAGCCATTACACTTCTTGGGGATTCCTTGCAGTCCCTGATAGACCGTGGGGCGACTGTGAAGAAGTTCGACGTGTATCCGCCGGAAGGCGGCTCTCAGGTGCCGACCGCATGTCCATTCGAGCTTCTGCACCGCCTCCTCTGTGACTCCCCTGTAATGAGAGAAGCTCTGGCTACTGGGACAGATACAGAAACTCTACGTAAGCTCTTGAGCCCTTCTCTCGCAATGCTTTTGAAACTGACTGCGTCCAGTTTCGCTCGAATTTCGAAAGGTCTTCCGACCATATCTCGGAGGAATCCAAGAGAGGTCTCCCGCAGGCTGCCCCAATATGGTTTTCGCAACAATTCATAGGTCTCCAAAGGCTGTTCAGGTAGTATTTGGGGGCAATGAGGTTGCGTGGCCCAATGTGGAAACCTGCCCTGAGATCTGGGCTATCACGAAAGCCGCACGAGACTATCAGCTTTCCGCGTACATTCCTATTGCACAGCAGGCATTCAATGCATTGGAGCGGCGTGAGCTCTTCAGAATGCGCGAGCGTAAAGATGACATCAACGAATTGAACCAGAAGGCTATCCTTTTCCAAGAACGAACCGATGCCATCAAGTGGTTGCGCCAGCATCCGACCCATCTAGGCCCGAAATCCCTCAGTCAGCGCGGACTTGCCATGAGACCTCCAACATGGCAACGCCGTCCGCCTTGTTATTTATGTGAGGCGATGATGAGTTGGGGGCCGGTCTATGATTTCTACAAGGACAAGGAGACGTGGAAATCCAACATCGTTAGATTCTCATGGGAGAAGAGGGGTGGGAGGCCTCACTGCTGCGCTGAAGCGATCGTAAGGCTTCAATGCATGAATCTCAACTTGAAAGCAGGACTTTCGATGAACAAATGAGACGAGAAAGAAGAAACACCGAGGAACATCAAGGGTAAGTTCTGATCTAGGAAGCTGAATGAGAAACTAAAAGCCGAACTTTTAGCAGCGGACTCAGCAGATCGTAATTCACGGCAAGGTCACTCCACCAACATGGTCCGGAATCTACAGCGCTTGGCGGTCTAGCATTTCAACAGAGCTACCAATGCAGGAGGTAAGCAACCACAATAACCTTGTTATCCAACCTTCGCGCGTTTTCTGACCACAGCAGTGCGCTTCAAAATCCAGTCTTTCAGCTACGAAGGAAAACCATAGTACTTGACGGATCTGTCATGAGGAAACAATTCTGATTATCAATTTTCTTGTCCTTCGACTTTCCTTTCGCTGGTTTCTTATTTGCGCATCACCGTGGGCACGTTTCCTTGCTTCCTCATATGACTACTTAATAACGGCAGATACGGTTCAAGGACGGCGTTATGACGACAAAGGCGTCACAGGCGTGGGAGAGGATCTGGATACAACTGAAATAGGGCGTCATGATGGCGGAATTTCCTGGCTGCTGAAATCAGTGCACGACCTCTAGACCCCTGAAAATGGATTCCCTGTGCTTTCTTGCCTGCATATGCATCTGACTGTCTGATTACCTGCCTGCATGTTTAACAGACTGCCTTCATGTTTCTTTGTTTGGTCCAACTAGTACGCCCAAGAGTGTTTGGGGATATAATGTGTTGCAACCGCTAACCCACTACACAGCGCACCATACGAACGTTTATGGATTGGTGGCGTAGTGGTAACGCATGTCATGGTTAAACATCACATCCATGGCAAGTCCCAGGTTCGAGTCCTGGCCGATCTGACTGCAGGCTTTTTTGCCCTTTGTTTTGCTGCCGGGTGGTGTTGAGTGGTAGCGGGGTGTCTGTGTTGGGGCCTCTTTCCGTGGTTGTGGTTGTCGCCCAACGAAATGGGGGGGAAAAGGCGACAGCACAGCCTCCAAACAAAGGGTAGGGAAGAGCGCGACTGTGGTCGCAAACGAAAGCTCCTTGACCTTGCCACAAGATAAACTTTCACTCGTAACTATGCCTTCTCAAGACCAGCTCAACAATTTTCAAAGAATTGACGCCGAGATGAAAAGGTATCCGCCTTCAGTCGCACCCCAGGCTCTCAAAGAAGTTGAGCCCGATCGTGGCGAGAGAGATGCATACACCAGATACGTGCTCTTTGAGATGAGCGGCACCAATCTCGCATCTTGCTACACATCGATGGGCCGAGATGCTTTCGTGCATACAGTCGAAAATATCAACCTCTTCTCACCCACGAATCCGGACTTGTACGGCGCGCTACAAGATGGAGTCAATCAGATTGATGTTCCCTGGATACCTTTGGGCTACACATCGAATGCCCTTTATCGGCTCCATCACAACTTTTACGGACTCATCCCACATCAGAACGCCACCGACGTGTCTGAGGATTACTCCTTTCTCGGGGTCAACACCAACACTCCAGAGCCCGCTGGGAACCGCCGAAGGCCACAGCTTTCGGCAATGTCCACAGATTTGGCTGAGTCGGATGACAACGAGGTCAACGGTTTCTCAGCTCATCAGCTGGGTGAACTCATGTCCTGTCCGTGGGTCAAGACCGAGGGGCGTCCTTCCGACAACTGCCCCGTCCATCGGAAACCTGAAGAGTGGGTCAAAACAGGCTTCTTCGTTGTAGCACGACTCACTTCTTCCGGTGTAGCTGAGTGCCTGTGCCTCATCATGGACGGTTTCCCCGAGATGGATGACGGCTCCCGCCCTCCCCTTGACCACAAGGATTGGGGATGCCTCCCAAAAGAAGGCCGTGAAAAGCGATTCACTTGTGCCAGGATGAAGGGACCGCCTCTGTTGAGCGGTAGAGGTTATAATACTCGTTTCCAACTCGAGCAAGAAATTGAGAAGCCTGTGGAGCTTGTTCATCTCAAGAAAAACCCAACTGGTAAAGGGTTGATTCGAGAGACTGTTTACCGCGACCAGGGGTGAGTTCGGATCTAAGAAGCTGAATGAGGAACTGAAAGCCGAAACTTTAGCAGCGGACTCAGTCGTACATGACCATCGCCGTCGCTCACATGCTCTGCCCGGGCAACGGAGGAGCAATCTTCAAGAGACATCTCATCCGGTGCATCGCTCCCATGGCTCCCTCCACTCAAGACCCAAAGCCTCAAAGACCTTCCTCTCAGCATCCGCCCAGCTGCCCTCGACTCCATCAGGGCCCTCCAGCAGCACGACCTGTCCCGTCTGGCGATCTCTCACTCCGCTGCTGTCGAACTTCCAGCCCTTCTCATTCTTCACAAAGCGCCTGAGGTCTCGCTCAAATGTAGTGTCGCCCGTCCAGCCCAGGACGGCACAACCCATGGTGCGCCACGGAGACACGATGATGTCGACACGCCGATGAGGATTGGGGTTCTTTGCCTTTGGATTGGCGGCCAAGCCAGCCTCTCGCGTTTCCCATTGCGGGTCCTGCCACACCACTAGCGCTTTGTCCAGTGAGTCAAACCCACCCGCAGCACTCCCGGTGTTGATGAACGGCAGGGTAATTTGCCCGCGGGTCGAGTTTGCGGTGCTGAGGAGAAGGGTGTGTGTTATCCACCCTTCCTCCTCCAGGCTCGCTACAAGATCGGTGACCAGATCCTGCGTACATTCGAGTTGCCGATGGGAAACAAGAACGTCAACGTCTCCCGGATCCGCTTTGCCACGACGGTACCCACCAACCAGCGCAATTTCGACGCCCTCTCCGCGCAGCCGCACTGCATGTCTGCGTACGGTGGCGGCAATCGACTCAACTTCGGGATGGGGGAGAGGCTCTTGAAATTCGTCGTAGTATTTGACACCAATTTGCTGAACCCGCGATAAGGTGCTCCAGCCGTGTTCGATCACGTCGTCAATCTCGCACCAGCCGCGATCAAGCAAGAAGTTGCGCGCGGTCGTGGCACCCACGCCCCAAATACCGTGGAAAAGGCGCAGGACTTTCATCTCAGGGTCGGATTTCGCATCCTGCACGGCCGCCAGTGTTCGTTCCCCTTCGTCCTCGTGACTATCACGCCATTCCTTCCACAGCCCGGAAATCTTGCCGTCGCAGCCAGGCAAGCAAGTGACTTCGGTTGGCGATTGGAGTCTGTATGGGTACGCGGCTAGTGCTGCAATGCTGGTACTATAAGCGCGTACACCAATCTCGTCCCCTGTCAGTGCCCGCGCAAGGCGAATCTGTTTCAATTGATTGATGAAGGCCACGTTGGGCGGGTCGGCGGGCGTTGCGCGCTCGCAGGCGTACTTCTTTCGTTGTTTGACCCAGGCTGGAGGTGGAGGAAGGTCTTTGCCATCGTTACTGCTCGAACCCTCGTGTTCACTGGTAGTTCTCTGGAGGAGTTTCGATTTGGAGGTGGCGGGCTGGGTCGAAGAGGTGAAGCTGCGGTTGCTGAAATGAGTCGAACCACTGCCCCTGGACCCTGCTCTGCGTTCCTTTGGGGAAGTCTCGTTGGAGGCATCGGCTTTTGCACGTTCCAAGATACTTTGACCAGTTTTGGCCGCCAAGTTGCTGGCTCGCGAGCTCGGGGAGGCTGGAATAACGATTGGGGCTTTGGAGGCGAGAGTCGCTTTGAAAGGTGGCGTGGCGGGCGGCGGGTCTGTTGGCTCTCCCTCATAAACGAGGTAGTCCTTCAAAGGAAGCAGCTTGCCCGTTCGGTATGAATCGTCTATCCAATCCATTCTGACCACCTTGACATGATTGTCGTCGAAAAGGTCCGCAGGGGCTCCATTTCCTGCTGAGGACTGCGCAAGAGTCGATAGAGACGAGGGTCCTGAGAAAGGGGACCTGGTGTGTCCGGTCGACTGAGCTTCAGTTTCGTCTTCCGTCGATGAGTCTCTGTCTGAGTGGTCATCAATCTTGCGGCGTTTCAGCGGCGGCTCTCGAGGCTGTGGATTCAGCGTTGAGGACTCGGGCTTCGTTGGTGTTGTTTCTTTGGTGAAAAGCTTGCGGCTTCTCAGTTCCAACTGTGCCCTTCTCTTGGTGCCAACTTTCCCAATCACTATCTTGGCCTCGTGTATGTCGTATGTCATCCGGGCGCCAAATTCAGCGAGTTTGTCCTCGCACTCATGAAGGTCGTCAACCGAAAAATGAGTGGGAAGCACAAACACCGGAGGCAGGCTACTCAAATCTAGCTGAGACTGGGGCCTTCGAGAGCTGGATGCCGGAGCAGGAGATGAGGACAAAGGAGAGGAGATCATGGTATAAGACAGTCATGAGAGTTTGGGTTTGCATCAACACGGTCGCGCGCCAGGAACTCGAGCGAAGCCATTCGTGGCGCTGCAAGCTTCATGTATGGGCAACAGAGAGAAGAAGGGGGACAAAGAAGGCAATCCCGCTTCCGTGTAAGAGCAAGCCCTTTCGAGCCACCATGATGTTGACGAAGAAGATGGACGGAAGTGTCCAACGAGCGGGAAGACGCAACAGGCTCGCTTAGCGCAGTTGACGTCATCACGATTCCTTGACCCCGGTTTGCACGACGCGCCGGGCCAAGGCTTGGGACGGGACGCGTCCACAGGCACTTTCGCTCTAACTACTCAACATCTCCTTCTCTACTCTTCACGCGCAACACCTTTCGGTCGATCTCAAGCAAAAATAACGGCGCAGGTACCCCCATTCTTTCTTCAAGGGCGCGGCCGTATCTAATCTTCTACGTACATCTAGCAGGCGCTCACCAGGAACTTGAATTTCCCAGTCGCGTACATGTATACTGTTCCAGCGAGCACACTGACAGCACTCCACCAAATTGTGTTGTAGCTCACCTGCGTCTCTTCCACCACTCGGCCGACCTTTAGCTCTCCACTGACTATATCAGCCCCAGGCCCTTCCACAATGTAATCGCTCCACTTGACCTTTTCAATCTTCTTCTGATACTCGACTACGGTGCCGCTCCAGTTGTTGGTGACTCTTCCATCTTTTGTCTTGTACCAGCTGGAACAGTTTGGATCCGCAAAGGCCGACTTGCCGAGTCGATTCTGCAACTCGACGTTGAACGCCCTGACAATCTCCGGCTTCGGTTGGATTGCCAACGTCTTCCCCTGCCTTCGACCATCTATGACGGTCTTGATCATTCCGGCAATGTATCGAGACTGCGCTTCAACCATCAGCACGATGCTATTGTGACCGAGGTTTGTGTTCGGCCCGTAAAGCATGCCGAAATTGGGCAGGCTCTCGACGGTAATGCCATAGTACCTAGTACTCGCTCCATCAGCAAATTTTCCCAGCCTTGTGCATCGTGCGTCCGACTTACGCCTGAGGGCCTTCCTTCCAAACGTCAGATAGGGAGCGTCCTCCCGAACCCACAACCTTGATTGGGTACATAAATTGCACGGACCGAAAGCCAGTCGCGTACACCACAAGGTCGAATTCCTTGTGATCGCCGCCTTCTACTTCGATTCCAGTGCTCGACATGCGATTGATGTATCTAGTTTCGAGGTGGACATGCGGTTTCGCGAAGGATTTGAACCAGTCATCGGAGAAGACGGTGCGTTTACAGCCCGGAGAGTACTTGGGGGTCAACTTATCCCACAGATCAGGTCGGTGGGGCAAATCGCGCTTGAGCATGACTTTAAACTGCTGTTCCACGTACAGCGATGACCCAGACCAGGAGTTGTAGAGGGCTTCGTGAGATTCTTCTCTCCCGTCCATGATCACGGCCCTCTTTCTCCAACGGTACGGAGGGCACCAGCGGAACAATGCGCGCCTGGACGCGGGAATTACAACGTCGTTTCGAGGAAGTATCCAGTTGGCCTGGCGTTGGAAAACGGTAAGTGATGAAGCAGTCTGCGCTACTTCAGG